TTTGTTATAAAATATACGGTAAGACAATCTGGGAATGGATTCAATGGTTAGCTCTGAAGGAACTCTTCGAGCGCCTCTTCGTCTGACTTTTGGGTTTCAATTTCGATCTCTTCGATGGAAGGGATCCTTTGTTTTGAGTTATTTTGTACTTTCGTTTCGATCTTTCCGTGAGTTTTATAGTGATTGAGTTCCTCTTCGAAAACTTTTTGAAACGCTTCCTGTCTTTCCTTCAGAATGTTTTGCTGTTGTCTCTCAAAGTCGTGCACTTTGTCCGTGTGCTCGACCGCCAGTTTCACTCGCAATGCCTCCAATTGAGACGTTTTGCTGTCTTTGTAGACCTCGATCTTGAAGTGCTGATCGATCTTCAGTTTCTCCAAATCTTCCACTTCTTTGTTGTCCTCCAAAGTCGTCAAAAGCTGTTCGGCTTTCAAGAAATTATTCTTACATTTCATTAAATCCTTTTCAAGCGATTCAATCGATTCAACCATTTGTGGCAAAGAAGACAATTGAGTCAACAAATCATTTATTAAAGATTCCTGTTTTTTGGCGTTCGAGTCGACCACAGCTATCACTTTAGACACTTCTTCAGCAGATTTAGCATTGGATTCACTCATTTCATGCATTTGTTGCCATTGAGTCTGATATCTGTGCAGCAGTTCTGCCCCGGCGTTCAAATCGACTTTAAATTTGTGGACATTTCTATGAAAACCCAATTTAGTTCTGATCTCTTCCTTGGCTTCATGACTGATGGGCTGAGTTAAGCCTCGGATACTACGGTATTATGCATTAAATGCATTCATTTGAAAATTGAAATCAAATCTATGAAGAAGTCTATACCTTGAGGTCAAGTCGTTTTGAACGATCTGTAGTTTGTCTTTCAACTGTTCCAACATCTCTTTGGACCTAAAGAGTTGAAACATTTGATGAGAATTTGAGAATAGATTTGAGAAAAGTATTCAAATAATGTATTTCACTATAAAATACAAAATTAGTTTCACTTTTATTCAATAAATAATGATTTGTTATAAAATTTAAGCACATATTTATGTTAAGTCAGTATTCAAATGTTTCAATGTATAAAATGTCATGTAAAATTTATATTAATATATAACAAAATATTTTGTAAATTCATTTCAGTCTCAGATTATGGCTTCAAATGGACGAACATTTGTTACGATTTGTGTAAAATAATACTAAAATCAACTAATGATTCAAAATCTAATATAAACGCTAAAAATATATAAATATTTATAAATATGTATAAAAATAGAGCAAAAATAAGTAATAAATTGAGTGGAAAGCTGTCGAATAGTTGTCAAACATTTTGAAAACAAACTTTTGAACTAAAGTTACACTAAATAGTTGTCGAAAGAGATGAGATACTAATTGTGTTTTATAGGAACTGTTGAGACAAAAACCAATAACTATTTTGGTCTCAATAAGACATATAAATACTTTTTTGGCGTTAAAACAAAATAACATAAAAACCAAAACCGATAATCAAATACAAAACAATAAATGATTGATTGAAATGTAAATATGAGACAAACAAACAGTTGTGTCAATGAATGGCAAACATGTAATGAATGGATGAGAAAGTGAGACAAAATGCAATCAACAGTTAGACATCAGATTCGGTGGCATTTCTATTGTGAAGAGGATTGTCATCAAACAAATGGTTATTGTTTTGGTGGACATTGGCTTCCACTCTGACATGAGATCCGTTGTCAGCGTCGGGTCTGTCGTTAACATAGATCTGGTTAACGGTTCCCACGTTTCCATTGGAGGAGGTCCTGCGGACCGTGAGATACGTCAGAGGAATGAGTTTACCATCACTTTTGTCATCAATCGCGTAGTGCAGCGACTGATGCCTCGCCTCGTCTTCATTGGTCTCCACGAAGACATAAGTGTCTGACTTTCGCTTCCGATTCCAGAGTCTCTCCAAACACTTAATGAACGCTAAGATAATGCCGGAGACAATGACCCCGAAGAAGACAATGGGTATGATAATGGGTGCCGAAGGGGTGGACGAGTAGTTCACCACATCTGAGGGCGGGTTGGCTGTGGACGACATCACCACCAGATGACCACTAGTTGTCCACAAACCACACAATCACCACAAACTCACGAGTATTTATGCAATGATTGCTTCAATTAATACTCTTTTCATGAATTCATTAATTATTGCATTAATTATGGGTTTTAATGAAAACAATGAGAAATACAATGAATTGTGAATTGAATGTGAATTTCATGTGAAATGTACTCACAGTTAGTGAACAGTTAGTCTCAAATACAATGAAACCAATCGTCAAACTGTTTGCCAATTAAATAGCGATTTGTGTTGTGTTTCAAAGCAATCAATGAATCATTTGATGACTATTTGAGTCATACTTTCCACGAATAATCACAACAATAATGAAAACTTTTGTGGACTTCAATGCTATTCAATGAATGCATACCTTATGTGCATTTGACAGGTATTTCTGTGAACACTATACAGACATTAGTAACACATGTTTAGTGGCCACACGTGTGCACCCAATGGACCCAAACATGTATGAAATGAAGCCAATTATTGTCAATACTTCAACATTCAGTGTGTTTTGCATTGTATTCACTGTTATCTAACATTTAGTTAAAGTTTTCTTGTTTTGGTGTAAAGTTTACGCAAAAATACATTCAATTCACTGATAAGTGAAACAACTTTTTGGGTAATTATTTGACACTTAATTGCTTTCAAACTCTATTACTGTTGACATGAGTGTTGTGTCACATGTTTTGCACTGCATTTCAATGTAAACAAAGTGTTTGTCTTCAAACACGTGACTCTATGTCCACTTAAATGACCACAAATTCATTGACTGTCTCTCACTATCACTGAATGCCATCTCTTTGGCCACTCTTTCATATGAATCCTCACTTGAAATCACTTCTCAATTTTGGTGTAGTTTTCAAATCGAAACCCAATTTGTTTGTCACCCGAAGACTGCTGTCAAAGATGTCGTTATCAGCGGATGAGGTCTCGAGATATAGTCGACAAATGCTTTTACCAGAAGTGGGAAGAAGTGGACAATTGGCTCTTAAAAAGACATCAGTTCTGGTGGTGGGCTGTGGAGGACTCGGATGTCCCGCCAGTCTATATTTGGCCGCTTCTGGTATCGGAAGACTTGGTTTAGTGGACAACGATGTGGTCGATAAGAGTAATCTTCACCGACAGGTCCTCCACACCGAGACCCGTGTCGGACAACTGAAGACCGAGTCTGCGGTCGAGACATTGAAAGCCATCAATTCAAACGTCACTCTCGAGCCCATCGAGTGTCGACTCAATCGGACCAATGCTTCAGACATTATCTCCAAATACGACATCATTATCGACGGAACCGATAACCCAATGACCAGATATTTGTTGAGTGATGTCTGCGTTCTTAATAATAAACCTCTCGTTTCGGGATCTGCTCTCAGATTTGACGGACAGTTAACTGTCTATAACTATGACTCGAATACTCCGTGTTATAGATGTCTGTTCCCAACGGCACCGCCGGCCGGAACCGTCACCAACTGTAACGACGGGGGAGTAATGGGTGTAATCCCTGGCATTATTGGACAGATGCAGGCGTTGGAGACAATTAAGATAGCCATCGGTCGTAAGCCTACATATGCGGGACAGATGTTGCTGTTTGACGGCCTGAACGGGTCCTTCAAAACAGTGAAACTTCGCGGCAAACGCGAGGACTGCATCAGCTGTGGTGCCAACAGAACCCTTGGCTCAGAGCTCATGGACTACGAGGAGTTCTGTGGCGTTCAATGCAATGCCAGTCAGTCGCTGAAAATACTGGCGCCCGAAGAGCGGATGAGTTGCAAAGAATATGAGACACAGTATTTGAATGCAAGAAGTGATCATTTATTGATTGACGTGAGGCCTAAACTTCAGGCCGATATCACTAAACTGGAAAACGCTATAAACATCCCTTTAGGGGAATTAGAAAAAGGCAATGGATTTGAGATCTTAGAGGATCTCTTGGCTAAAGAAATGGATAGAAATAAAAGCAAAGTAAACGTAATCTTCATGTGTAGAAGAGGTAATGCCTCCCAAAAGGCGGTCAGACTTTTAAAATCTAAAATAACAAACGATAAAATTCTTATAAAAGATATAATCGGAGGACTGGAGGGGTGGGCCAAAGAGGTTGATCCCACGTTTCCTATGTATTGATTCATTTATATAACTTTCTATGAATTGAATAAAAATTATTAAAAATCTTTCTCCAAATCCTTCACTCTTTGCTCTAAGGCTTGAATCTTATGATTGAGAAAAGTTCTCTCATTCAGCAGAAAGTCGGCTAAAAACGACTCATTCGTGCAGTTTATGTCCAACGACTCGTGATATCTCTGCTGAGCGATCGATAACTTCTTCCGGTGTCCATAGCATGCGATTCCGAGGCTCTGGAGATCGTCGTCGGTTAGAGTGAGGAATTGGATGAAATCGATGCCATTGTTTTCGAACAGATCCAAGTAGTGAATCAAATCGATTCGAGTCAACAGATGAAACAATGTCTTTGGCATCGGAGCAGATATGGGAACTATTGCTGATTTAGAGGGCTTTCGGAAGCTCTGCTTTTTGCCCAATAGTTTACGCTTGAAGTTTGGCGGCGCAGAGATTACTGAAGAACTCATCGATGAATGAGACGAGTGATCCAAACTATCACTATTCGAGTGCAGGAATGATGGCTCAAACTTCTTGGCCTTTGGATTCAAATCGCTTTTAACGGTTCCCCAAATGGCGTTAGAGAACGGAGTCTTTCCGCACGGATTGAAGATGTGATCGCCTTCTTCGGTGGCAGAGTTAGAGCTCAGACTCAGGGTTGAGCCCAGACTTTCATTTGGTTTGGGCTCAGCCTTCACGTGCGAATAGGACCGACCCCTCAGTTGATAGACTTCAAAGCCATCGGACGACTCCGAGAGCATACTTTTGATGAGTTTGTTGTTTCCGTGTCCGTGGTTTGTGGCGTAATTCAGAGCATTAGCGCCATTCAAGTCCTCCATATATTTGTCGGCCTTTCCATAGTTGACGAGTGCGTCGATACAACGCGTGTGACCATTACATGCGGCCAACATTAGGGCAGTCCTGCCCTGACTGTCCTGATAGTTGACGTTCGCGTTGTGACGGATAAGATGCCTAATGATATTGAAGTGGCCATAGTTTGCCGCATACAGGAGTGCAGTCCAACCCGATTCGTTCACTCCATTCACATCTCTATACATATATTTTGAACTTTTAATCAATTCTTTCAATTTCTTATATAAGGCTTACTCTAAATTGTTGGACAGAATGTACTCAACAGTCCCATAGTCGCCAACACTGGCCGCCGACACCAAACTTTGTGAATCACGCATTGAATCCATTTATGAGCTCTCGTTTACAATTGATTTAAAACTTATATAAAAATGCGAATCAAATGAAATAAAATGAAAAAATCGTTTAAAAAATTTCGTTTTAATAAAAATAATGAACTATAAAATGATTGTAACGTTGGGTCGAAATTCACTCATCCGGAGTCGTCTTCATTATGATCTATAAGAAAGCTCTTCACGTCTTCTTTTATACCTCTTTTAACCAAATGTTTTGGAAACTTATTCTCAACTGAAGTCATTTCATTGGCTATAAGACTACAACTATAGCACAAATTCTTATCGTCCGTGAGATGAGACTCACTATCTCTGGGATTCCTATTATTTGATAGATTTTGAGTCAAACGCAACGATTCAAAGGCTGAACATTCCGGACGATCTGTTGTGTCGATTGTGCTCTAAATTAAAGGAAATTTTTAGTTTTCAAAAATCAGTCAAGTTTTCCAATGACTTACTTTGCAAACAACACATTTGTCATGACTTTCACTGTCAGAGACTTTTAACTTATCGCCCGTTTTGATGATTGCGTATAAAGTTGAGGGGAACTCCGATTGCAAACCTTTTAGAAAATTTTCAGTCATTCGTTGAATACTAGACTTGAGTGAAGTATTTGTCAATAAATTCTTTGTGACAAAAAATTTGAGTTTTTTGTAAATCACATAAAATGTGATCTCTTTCGCAGACAACTCTCTCATTGGTCTCAGAATTGGTGTTTCATTTCTTTCATCAATAAATGCCTTTTGAATATAGTTTGCAAACAATAAGAACTCATTAATGAATAGAGTTTGAGTGGAAGTGATCATTGAAATACCGCTTCCGACTGAAGTTGAATGCCTTTCCCAACGGCCACATCACTCAACAAACTGATCGCCAAATCAGACGAATTGTTGGCGAAGAAGATTTTGTCAAACTTTTCGATGTATGCGATGTCAGCGATGAGTCGATTACTGCATAATCAGACAATTATTCATAATCTGGTTTATATTAAACCATTAAATGTCTATTAAATACCGCATTCTCTTCAGGAACTCCTGTTTTGAAGTCAAAGACTGAATACTCGAAAACGAATCCATAAATGTTTTCTGGCATTCATTGCGGGTCTCACTGTCAACTGATTTATCATTAAAATTGGCGTAAAAATTGGTGTCATTTTGTCGATAAGACATCTCTATTGATGTCTCAAAACACTGCCATTTAGTGTCTGACATCATATCTGTTATCTCTTTGATTACGGACTCGTTTTGATCATTTGATTCATCACTCAAAATACTTTCTATAAATTAATACAAATATTATCATTGAATTCAAACAATAATTGACTGAATGGTACCATCGATATGGATGATAGAGGGAACAAATCGCAACTTCTTGTGCTGCACCTCTTGGAGGCCTTCCATAATCATGTGGACCATCGCCGACGAGTTGATACCACCGGAGAAGGCAATGAGCACTCGTTCTCCGGTGTGAATGGCCCTTGATTTGCCAATAGTTGCCCTAAACTTATGGGAACAGTAGTCGGACAGACAGTCCCCGCAAAACACGTCCTTTCGTTGCAGTAAAACAAATCCATTATTTACTAAACATTTCTTGCATTTAATTAAACCATTTTCGCTGTGTTTTGGACACAAAATGACATTAATTTTACATTCAGGTATGTCTTAAACACAAACCTCTTTAACCGTTGAAGAAATTTCTCATAAATGGTATCACTTTTGGGATAATTATCCAAATTATCGCACATTTTGTCACAAATTGTTTACTTTTTCGACATTTAATGTATGCTTTTATTTACGAAACATGTGGTCATCACGTGATTCACTGTAATATGCTTTCAATACAAATCTTATGAATACAACAAAATTATATAATTTTAGTGCAAATAATGAATAAAATACTGTATTTTAATTGCATTTCGATATAAACCATTTATATATAATTAATTGAAATATTAAAACAAATAAAAGTGTGAATAAAATATAAATTGAGGAAAAATTACATATTCATTAAAAGTGTAAAAAAGTTTTAAAAGATTTCAATCCAAAGCCATCAAAAGTCGTTCAAACTCTTCGTGACGATAGGGTTTGAGGGCATCGGAGTTCCAAAGACGGATCCCATGCAGGGTTCGGGTTAAATGTTGTGCCCATTCGGCGCTATTATCTTTGTTTTCGCCACACATTAGATACCTGTCAATGGTTTCAGTTTTAGAGACTTTAGAGTACAGTGTATGCGAAGACTTACTTTATGGGACGACTCCGAGGAATAGATCCGCCTTTTGTGAAGATATCTTTGGGTGTTTTGGGGGCCGAAGCCGTTATAAGGGCTATAGTGTTGGGCCGCATACCTGTGAGGCGCACGACACCCACAGTGGGGTTAACGCACTCTTTGAGATTAATGGCCGCCAGCGCCGACTTGATGGCCACGTCTTCGGGGAATCGATAGAACGCCAAGTGATGACCCTTTAGGACAACCCATCGGAGGTTCCAGAAGCCATTGGGATCGCGAACGTCGAAAAAGCCTTCCCTATAGTAGTTGTGTTCAACAGTGAGGTCTGTCTTGACGTAAATGTTTCCCTCGAGAGGGGAATTGAAGTGAAAGTTCTCTAATTTATAGCAATTCTTGAAATAGTTGTTCAGATTTATGTTCAACACTCCGATCAACTGGAAGCTAGTGCTGAGCACAGCGTTGGGACCGCCGGGACTGCGAACAGTCGGCGACTTCATTGTGTTCCTGTTCTTCTTCGGGGTCTTCTTGATGTGATACTTGATGTCGTGCGGCAACTGGTGGTTGGCTGTCATCAAGTCATAGACGTGGACAACCACTTGGAACTCATTGGACAGATCAGTCAATTTGACGCCAAACTCGAACTCAAGGGTTCCGTTTTTGATGTCTTTCTCAGTGTTCAACAAATTGGT